TTCTTGATTCTCACTTTTTATTCTTATAACCGTAATGAATGCAGAGAAGGAATAAAGGAACAAAAGGGGGGATGCTTAGAAAGTGAGAATAAATATCTTGGTTTTCTCCACACCCCAAGTCCCACATTGGTAACAGTAATAGTAGGCATTTTCTTATAAGGAAACTTTTAGTATTCATTGGCCAAACAACCATTGTTATTTGAGTGCTTTTCTTCACTCTCTTGGCCATTGAACTGGGATCAAAGTGTAGTATCTGTCCTTGGGTTGACAAACATTTTATTTCTTAATTAAGTCTCTGCAGATAGTGCAACTGAAAAAATATTTAGAGGTTCCCAGTACTGGGGAACAGCTGCCTGCAGCAGTACCTCCCTCATTGTGTGAAAGAAGGTGATTAGTAGTAATAGCAATGCAAGCACAACTGATGGTTGTGGAGGCTGGGCTATTTTTTAACCTGGCCCCAGTGTATAGGCTCAGGCTTCCCACATTAAACTGACCTTTTGTCACATCCTGTCAGTGTGGGGTGGCAAGTAAATACTAAGTGTAGTATCTGTTTTCCCCATCTCTAATGTTAATGGGAATGTTAGCTGTTTCCTTATAAGGAAACATTCAACATTCATTGACTAATTCAGAAGTTTTAAGATGGTTTCAGAAGAGCTGCCATCACTGCTTTCATTCCAATTTCTGCTTTGAAAAGGTTTATCTTGAGTCCATTAGCTTTTTCTGTTGGTAGTGACATGTCACCTTACAGAACAAAAAACAAGTCCCATCAAAAGGACAATGAGCTTCATATACGAGCCAGCAACCAATATTTATACATACATGCATACATACAAACATATATTAAAGTCAGCACCCACTGGCGACAGTCTCTTTCATGCTTATTTGCTGTCGTCAGGCCATAAGTATAGTTTTTGCTTGACTCTCTCTCTCTCTCTATATATATATATATATATATATATATATATAGGTCAGTGATGTATTGTGGGTATCTAGTGCTTGTTTTGGTTGACAGTAACAGTTATGTTTCAAATTATTCTATTACTTTCTTGGACCAACACACTAAATAAACGATCAGAATTCATCTCAAAATGCAGACACAAAAACAAATTTTTACTATGTTACTTAAAAATAAAATTAAAAACAGACATTAATAATTGAAAATAAACAAAAATAAGTAAAATAAATTAATCCAAAACAATAAATAAGCAAATAAATTAAGTAAATAATAAGGAAATTAACAAACCATGAACACACACATAAACACAAGTAAACATAACAACCAGCAATGAAATAATCAATAACAAACAAAATATATTAACAAACAACACTATAAATAGCAAAAAAAAAATGAATCTGGATCCACAATTATTTCCACTGAATAGCCCCTGGAATAATTTGAAACATAACTGTTGCTACTCACCAAAACAACTGTTAGAACAAGACAATAGACTATCCATAATGCATCACTGATCTATATATATATATATATATATATATATATATATATATATATATAAGTTAAGCAAAAACAGAATACATATGGCCTAACAATTGCAAATAAGCATGAAACAAACTGTCACCACTGGGTGTTGACTTCAATGTCCACTTTCATATTTCCATACTCTATCACTTTAACCCATATTTTATCATATATAGGCTAGGATGGGGTCTCAAGCCTTGAATGACAAACTTTCTAGAGATTGTGTCTCTATAAAATCACTCAGAGTAGTTGGACTACTGTGAGTGTCTGAGTTGCTGGGGTGGGCATCCAGCATTGTAAACTCTCCATGTTTTGTGTGAGATTAATCCTAGTCTTACCTAACAAAAAGACATGGCTATATTTGTATGAAATTAATAAACTCTAAACACTTCAAATACCTCAGTGTATGGATCAGTTATAACAGAAGAGATAATGAAACAGATAACGAAATTGAACATAGATTATGCTTTGCTAGGGGTAGTTTTGCCCAACACCATGAGTTGCTACAAAACCAAAACATTAACCTGAGAACTGCAGTCTTATATATAGTCTCATCAGCTCCAGATTCGTATATCATCAATTGTTTTCTCAGATTAATGATTAAAAATGGCATCAAGTGAATGATTCCTATATGTCTTAAAGATAATCCTTCATCAGATCTTGTAGGCTGGAGCTACAAAACCACAAAGAACTCTATCAAATAACAAAAACCACATTGCATAAAGACTCCCAACAGTAGCAACAACTAAAATGGATAGCACATGTAACTTGAAGAGAAAATAATGATACAATGAAGATATTGACTTTCCATGCTACCTTAAACAAAAAGTTAGAAAAGACCACCCCCCAGTCAATACTAGAAAGTTCAATAACACCTGAGAAACTGATTTTCCTGAAAGAAGTGTTTTAAGAGAAACATTTTATAAATTCTAACAGTCAAGCTAACTGTTCAGTTGATGAATATTGAATGTTTCTTTATAAGGAAACAACTACTTTCACCATTACCATTTACCTACAATAACTTACTAAGTGTTATTCATTATGAAGTCTATTTTTGTTTGCTGATATTATGCATTTGGTGTTTTACACTTGTCAATGTTTTGTTAGTATTCACAGTGAAAGCTTGGCTTTTTCTGCCTGTAATAAAATATATTCATGTAACCAGGAATTCTGCCAAAGCTTTTGAATTTGGAAGAGTTGCCAATATGCCTTGGGTGAGATGGAAGGAAAGGAAAATGACAACTGCTTCCTGCTGCAATTATTGTTATTATGATTATACGAGTGTAAAAAGAATAAATGTTCTAGACTTCTTGGATGACTAATGGCTCAGACGCTGGCATTTTAAAAGACAGACAGAAATCACTTTAGAAGAATTGGTTATTATTTAATTCTATTATTGTGTAATTCTTTATTCTTTTGTTCTGTTTTCTTCTTTCTTTCGTTCTCTCGTCTCCCTTCTTTCGTTCTCTCGCCTCCCTTCGTTCTCTTGTCTCCTTTCTTTCGCTCTCTCGTCTCCATTCATTCCCTTGTCTCCCTTTGCTCTCTCGTCTCCCTTCTTTCATTCTCTTGTCTCCCTTCACTCTCTTGTTTCCCTTTCATTCTCTCGTCTCCCTTCGCTCACTCGTTTCCCTTCTTTCATTCTCTCGTCTCCCTTCGCTCTCTCGTTTCCCTTCTTTCATTCTCTCGTCTCCCTTCGCTCTCTCGTTTCCCTTCTTTCATTCTCTCGTCTCCCTTCGCTCTCTCGTCTCCCTTCTTTCATTCTCTCGTCTCCCTTAAAGCTCTCTCGTCTCCTTCTTTCATTCTCTCTCTCCCTTAGCTCTCTCGTCTCCCTTCTTTCATTCTCTCGTCTCCCTTAACTCTCTTGTTTCCCTTTCATTCTCTCTCTCCCTTAAATCTCTCGTTTCCCTTCTTTCATTCTCTCGTCTCCCTTCGCTCTCTCGTTTCCCTTCTTTCATTCTCTCGTCTCCCTTCACTCTCTCGTTTCCCTTCTTTCATTCTCTTGTCTCCCTTTGCTCTCTCGTTTCCCTTTCATTCTCTCGTCTCCCTTTGCTCTCTTGTTTCCCTTTCATTCTCTCGTCTCCCTTTGCTCTCTTGTTTCCCTTTCATTCTCTCGTCTCCCTTTGCTCTCTTGTTTCCCCTTCATTCTCTCGTCTCCCTTCGCTCTCTTGTTTCCCTTTCATTCTCTCGTCTCCCTTCGCTCTCTCGTTTCCCTTCTTTCATTCTCTCGTCTCCCTTCGCTCTCTTTCCCTTTTCCCTTCTTTTCATTCTCTTCCCTCTTTCCTTCTCCCTTCTCTCTCGTTTCCCTTCTTTCATTCTCTCGTCTCCCTTCGCTCTCTCGTTTCCTTCTTTCATTCTCTCTCTCTCCCTTCACTCTCGTTTCCCTTCTTTCATTCTCTACATTCCCTTCTCTCTCCCTTCTACATTCTCTCTCCTCGTTTCCCTTCCCTTTCATTCTCTCGTCTCCTTTCGCTCTCTCGTTTCACTTCTTTCATTCTCTTGTTTTTTGTTTTGTTTTTTTATTCTATTCATTCTTTCATCTTCTTTTCACTTTTTTTCATTCTCTTTTATTCAGTTTTCATTCTTTTATTCTCTTGTCCCCTTCATTCTGCTGTTCTTGTCACTTGTTTTTCTCTTGATTTCTTATTCTCTTCATTCCCACTTGTTTTTCATGTTTTCTTCATTTACTTTTTCACTTTTCCTCCTTTTCTCTTATTTTCATGTTCTCTCTCTTTTTCTCTTCCTCTATTCTCTCCAGTCTTTTTTGTTTTCTCTTTTCATATTTATTTTTTCTCATTTTCTTTATTTTTATCTTTTGTTCATTTTTCATTTTACACTTTTTGGTCACTTAGATTCATTCTTTTTAAAAAATGAATCAAAATGAAAAACATTTTTCTCAATTCTTATGTGTTTCAAGCAAAACAGCCAATATAGCATCCCTCATCATGTTAAATTATAGACAGCTTTTGATAAAATTTTCCAAAGCTTTACACATCCTAGTTCACCTTTGCACAAGACTTCTACTTGTATCTGTTATATTTTGGAATGTCAAATTTTGCTCCAAGCAGGCATGCAGTTTCTCTGCCTTCCAATGCCTGTGTTTCTATTATGGTCTCTAGACTCCAATCTCAACCTGTGACCTTTCAGTGAATGAGGTGACCCTTGCTGACACTTCTATTTTTGGACTCATGTTTTTGGAATGCCAAACTGTGTGTCCCCTCCTGATTAGTGGCGCCAGTATCGTAGTTTCTGAGAGTTTTCTGCTTAAAGACTTTTAACAAGATGTTTATGCGGAAGGAATCATAAAAATGCTTTCAAAAGGCTGCACATTTCGGCTTCTTCTCTTTTTCTGTTACTCAAGGGTTGTTGCCAGATAGGAAGGGCAATAAGCCCTTGTAATACAAATGGCCATTTCTCTTTCATTAAAATTTATGCATAGACATATATATTTTAATTCAATGTCAGACCTAAAAAATATTTCTACAAAATTAAAATGTTAACTTTCTATTTATTACTGGCTTATGGCCCCATCATGTTGAAACACTGGTTCTCGTATGATCACCAAAATTAAGCAACATTGAGCCTGGTCAGTACCTAGATGAGTGACTCCTGAGAAATATCAAGTGCTGTAAGCTTGGATGTGCTGGTAGTGTAATGGATAAGGGCTAGGAATTGTTAATTGGAGTGACAAGTTCCAATTTCTATTGTGTGTGTTATTTTCACTTACATGCAAATATCCTTGGAAAGGTATTAATCCACCTCTTTTCCCCCCAGCTATGGATTAATTAGGCTAAACCATTATTATCTTAAAAAAAAAAGGAAACATTCTTAGAATCTAAAACTATTTTCTGACTTTAAATAACCTGCAAAGAGTTGATAAGCCATAGAAAATGAACTCATCAATAAAAAAAACAAAAAACATAAATGTAAATATATTTTTAAAGAATTTAAGAACTGTCATAATAATAATAATAATAATTGTACATGAATCTATCATCAATGTCTTATTAAGTCCCGTGTGAAAATGTGGTATTTTGGTACATATTCAATCCGAATGGTGAAGGATGAGTTCTTGTGTCAATTGTTAGAATGGATGGGTCATGAATCGAACTAGCTAGAAGCAGGATAGTTAATGATGGTCAGCCACTCCCCTACTCTCCCTTCAGCCTTGTGCTTCAAATAATGTATATCATTATTAAATAAAATCCTTGTCTTACACCCCTTTCTAGTTTTGTATATTTTAAAGAGATTACAAACAGACAAAGGTAGTACTTGAGTGGAAGGAACAGCAACACACGTATAGATGAAAGAAAGAGAGATTTATTGTAAAAGAGAATACACTACTGGAAGACAGGGAATCGGTTAGCAAGCTAGTAATTCCCAAAGCAAGTCCACCAGGTATGTCCTGTGCACACTATATATATCTACTGATATAGTCAGTTCACAATAGACGATAGGGAGGGTGGGACATTCCATTGCAACAGTATATTTGCTGAATTTATTTTCTATCTGTATGCAAGTGGTCTTTAGAATAGGAAATTGAGAGCTGTAATTAAAAAGAAATAATAATTGACAATACATCTAAAAAATTTTATTATTCCATTAAATACTACAAATTTAATAAAAAGCAAGGTAAATAAGCTGAAAGAAATACTAATAAAAAATGAATAATAATTGACAGTGCATCAGAAATTCTATTATTACATCAAATACTACTAGTGTATTTTCAGAAGGCAGCTGGCCTCACCTTTCTACTCTCTGCCACAATTCATGGTGCCAACTACAACGTCTTGTAAATGGTAATGAAAGTTTGGAACTAAAACAATTTGGAACATTAGTCTAAGAAAATTGGTATATAAAAATGAAAATTTCTCACCTAAAAAATTATTATGGTGTTGTGTTTAATACAGGGTGTCCATAAAGTTAGTGTGCACTTTAAAAAATTTATAACTTTATTTGTATTTGCGATAGAAATAATCTGTAAAAAATGTTATAAAGTTTAATGTACCTAGTTTTAAGTATAGCTAAAATAACTAATGTGATTTCAGGCATTACTGTAAATCAGTTGGCAAATGTTTTCTGTGAACTGCAAAATCGTATTACCATTTGTATTGCTAATGATGGAAGACATGGCGAAACTTAAATAAAATTTCAAAACCTTAAAAAATATAGATTTACTTCTTTGTAATCCTTTTTAAAAATTATTTCTATCGCAAATACAAATAAAGTTATAAATTTTTTAAAGTGCACACGAACTTTATGGACACCCTGTACTTTCTGTAATGTGTTTGTGCGGAAATAATTCCTGTTGAGTCCCTGGCAAAACTATCAGCACAAACAGGTAGTTATGCTATCATTGATGAAGAATACACATTTCAAAGAACCAGTTCCAAAAGTATTCTCTTTCTAGTAAATTCGGTCTCCAAGAATGTTTCCAGGAACGGCATCTCAGCACAGCATGAAGCAAATAGCTAAAATGCCGAAAAACCTGAACCTAAAATTCTGCATTGATGAGCCTTGTAATAAAACACTTCATTAATAACTGTTGTCAGTCTCCAGGAATGAAGGAAAAAACATCAACATCCCGCCTTCTCCAGTTTTCCCCCACAGATTCCAAAAGAGATATTTTACCAATTTTTGAAGACTTGTAGAGTATGTGATAGCTACAATTTGTTTTGTTGGCTGTAAGGTAGCAACACCTCTAACTATAGAAACATGAATAAACACAAACCTGGATTTATAGAAGAACAATAACAAGTATTTAGGCGGAACACTGGTGCTGTGGAAAAGAAAAAGGATGAGTCTCAACCAGAGTAATTAATTCATTGTGGGAATGGCAAGCACCAGTCATAAATCATGTAAGTTTTTGGGAGCATATTTAGTGTTAGTATGCAAAGCTCATACTTAGAAATAAATCCAATTATCAGTTGTTGGGGAGGGCATTAGTTCTTGTGTCAATTCATTGTCTGAGAGTAGTGAGTGGAATTTTGTATTGCGAATGTTATTCCTGGTCTCTCAATGTCTTTGCTCCCCCACTGTACCACTATCTGTTTGAATGTTGATTCTCTTCTGCTTATATTGCTAGAGATAGGCTTGACTTGAAAACAATTTTAGATTCTTGATCTTCCATTTGATTATCAAAATTGAATTCTTAATTTTGATTTGTTGGTTTTGTTATTTTACTGAAACTGCATCCATGCATCGTTTATGTTACAGTGTCTAAATTAACTAATATTTTAATCCTGTCCACATCTGTCTGTGCATGGGAAAATATCTTTCTGCTTTTTGGAGGTACAGCAGACATGCCAAGTGGGTCATATTCTTTGTTTCTTCATTCTAGATTTGATTTTTTTTTTTTTTTTTTTATTCATTTCACCCCCAAGGAAGGTAATAAAGCTACTAAGATGCAAGGAGTTACTGAGTGTTAGAGAATCCTGCCTCAAAAACAAATCTAGTCTCGCTGACAAAACTCACCTGGCCATGCATCTCAAAGGACCTCCAATTGATTGTGAACTGGGGCATGAATTGGCTGGTCAACTTCAACATTTCTAAGACAAAACTGCTCTCTATTAATCAACACAGAGATCCTTCTCTTCCCTCCATTAGAATGTCTGACGCTCAACTTCTCAAGAGCAACTCTCTGCAGCTTCTCGGTCCCACGTTGACTGCTGACCTGAGATGGAATAAATACATTGAGTCAATTGCCTCGTCCACCGCAAGGAAAGTTGGCTCCCTGATCCGCGCCTTGAAGTTTTTCTCCCCGGAGTCGATCCTCCAGATCTACAAATCAACAATTCGCCCTTGCATGGAGTATTGCTGCCATATATGGTCTGGAGCGTCTTCTGTTTGCCTCGGGGTTCTTGATAGGCTCCAGAGGCGGATATGCAATGTAGTTGGCCCTGCCCTGGTGTCTCGTCTACAGTCACTTTCTTACAGACGTGCCGTCGCCTCCCTTTGTCTGTTCTACAAATACTTTCATGGAAATTGCTCCGAGGAGCTGCATTCGCTGGTTCCCAGACGTCATGAGTTCCAGCGCCTTACGAGGCTGGCATCCCGCTCTCACCCCTTCACTGTCGAAACTCCTAAATGTAGCCGTCTCTTCTACTCTAATAGCTTCATGTCTCGCACCTCTCGCCTGTGGAACTCCCTTCCCTATTCCTGTTTCCCTGTGAGCTATAATCTCCAGCTATTCAAGTGTAATATCAATCGACATCTCCAGTTGCATTGATCTATCCACTACCCTCATCCTTTCTTCTATCACTCCTATCTGATCTTGCTCTAAACTTTCTGTAACCCCTTGCGTCCTAGTGGCTTCCCGCCTTGCTTGGGGTGAAATGCTTAAAACAAAAAAAAAAGAAAAGAAAAAAAATAAAAGAACAGGAATTAAGAAGAGACTGACGATAACATTTGACAGTGCATTTAAATCTATGAAAATCAAAGTTGACTAGGAAGCAAGAAGCTTGTAAGAGATTTCCACAAATGAGAAGTGCGATAAAAGAAACTGTTAGCATAGAAATTATGGTTAAATCTATCCATTTCAACTGTAAAATAATGAGACATTTCTACCAATGTAGTACTGTGCTTAAATTCATAAAGTCTAGGTACCATTGCAGAAAATTTATCAGAACAATTACCATGAAAGTATTTATAGAAAAGGCACAGGGAAGCTATATTATGGTAGTGGGAAAGTTGCTGAAGCTGAGATGCCAGATCAAAACCAATAAGATTGCAGATATTTTGGATTTTATCAAGAATCTCTAGATATACAGAAGGAGCCCCAGTCCATATGTGATAGCAATGTTCAAAGAAGGATAAATGTTAAACATATATGTAAGATAGATTCGGGCTAGAAAATTGGCTAGTATGATACAGTGTACCAAATTTATTAGCTTCAGACCTAGCAAAGTTTGATATAAAGCAAAAGTCACAGAATTCTCATTTGGAAAATTTTACCAAGCAGTTAAGTTTAGCTTCTCACCAGAAAAACAAATAAGCTTACATAAGGAAAAGATGGATAAAAATGAAAGAAATAAAACTATACTGAAGAGAAAATGTAATTTCAACAACTCATTTCAATTGGATTACAGTAAATGATATTATGTATATTATTTTTATGTTATTTTTATAGATACAAATATTTAAGTAAATGCTTTGTTTATAATAAACAGTATTAACAACATTTACTGGCCTGAATGTTTGAGAAATCTCAAAAAACATATGTGACTTCTGACAGGAATCAAACTTGTGTCCTACATGGAAGTGTCATATAGCCTGACATGCTATACCATTTAGCTACAGAGGAAGCTTCTTGTTAGCAAGGTTAAATTACTGTTTTCAAACTACAAAGCTTGCTAAGCAGGTGCTTCCCCTGTAGCTAAATAGTATAGCATGTCAGGCTATATGGCAGTTTCATATGTAGGATACAGGTTCGATTCCTATTGGAGGACATATTTTCTTTGAGATTTCTCGGACATTCAAGCTGGTAAATTTTGTTAATACTGTTTATTATAAACAGAGCATTTACTTAAATATCTGTATCTATAAAATAACGTATAAACAAAAAATTATATTAAAATAATTGTTGGACTTAGTCTATTTCATAATATATATATATATATATATATATATATATA